AAAAACCAAAAGCGTTTGCGGAAAGTAAATCACAAAAATCAAAAGATGTCAACATAAGATTTTTCACCGACGAAGAGCCACGTGCTCTAAACGCTACTCACCCATTGAGCATCCAAAAAGTAGATATTACTCTAAATCCACTAAAATCAGCCAAGAATAGTACAGCACAAATGTTCGAAAAAATCGGACGTGGTTTTCAATCTTCGCCTCACACATATTCACCACAGCACACTCCACCCAATCTCTCAAAATATACACCAAGTATAATATATAAATCCGCTCAAGATTACAGAGATTGAGCCAAATGAAGAAGACGAAGAGACGGAGGGAAAACCCTAAGTAATGCGTACACACATTCAACAAATATGTGAAAACATGTCAAAGAGGTCAGGGGCGGACGCAGAGCTTTAAAGTTAGGGGGACACAATCGAATTTGAAAAAAAAGTTTCGAGAAGTTTTATATTCGAAAATTTTCGTTCAAAAAAATTACTCCCCGTGTAATTTTGAACCCAAAAATTTACATGGGATATAACTTTTTCGGATGTAAATTTCGAAAATTTTGATGTTATATACCATATAAAATTTCCTAATAAAATGATGAAAATTACATTGAGAAATTTGTATCCCAAAAATAATAAATGTTAATAAAATAAGTGATTTTTTTTTTTTAATGCGAGTAAGATGTCTTTCTTTAAGACTCACGTTTAACGTATTTTGGATATCTGTTTGGACTATTTGATATACCCATAATGTAGTTCTCAAAATAACCTTTGAGATGACATAAGTAATTTGTAGATTCGATTAGCGTATGGTCATCGAATAATTTTTAAAATTAGCATGTTATTGAAATTCAAATTTATTGTGATTTCGCCATTGTTTGGTGGAGATTAAAATCAAATTTTTAGTAAATTTTGACAAAAGTTAAACAATTATGGAATCCATGAAATATGTAATTAAAATTAATTATTAACTCTGATTTAGGTTAAAATTTGGATTTCAATCGATACCAAACATGACTTAATTTTTTTTTTTTTTTAAAAAAAAAAAAAAAAAAAAATGTGGGGGGGGGGGGGGGGGGGGGGGGGGTAGCCCCCCCCTAAATCCGTCCCTGACAGAGACCATAACCAGCGACATCAAGGTCATTCTGATTATCGTGAAGAATCAGCCACATATTGGATGGTTTGGTGGTTAGCTCCAATCTTCCATTTTCCGAAAACATTGGTTCCTTTTGTATCTTCTAGGAACTAGGAAGTGAAACATTTTGAGTCAGTGTACTGACAAGCTGAAGCCTTGTTATTGTTGTTGCCAGTCTGTTCCTTCAAATGTCGATACAGCTAAACTTTTTGGCAACTTCTTTATCCAGTGAAGTTATTAGATCAAAATGAGCCAAGGTCATAATTTGTACAGATCCTTGTGGGCATTGCATGTGTTAGGTTGTTGCAAATTGATATTCTATGGTTCTTGATTATTAAGAGCTCTAATGTTGAATCCCTTGATTAAAGGGATATTCCCTATGAAGTAGGTTTGGCATTGTGCTCGACTATTTCACTGAATTTGTCTCCTTGTAGGCGATACGAACGGGCTGGGTTCATCCAAATATCAATCTTGAGACTCCAGATGATGGTGTGGTATGGTCTTCAGTTTCATTCTTTTCCAGTAGTTTCATGTGCAGAGGGAATATTGTTAGTGTTGCAATGCTTTTACCAGTTATTCACTTGGGAAGAAAGAAATATGTTCTTTGAGCCATTAATTAAACATGGCTTAAATGGTAGAACACTGTATATCCAGGAGCATTGATAGAGCTAAAAGGATGCAACTGAACATGAAGATATAATTCATTTTGCTCCTTCACTGATTTCTTGCTTTTGCTATTATTGGTCTGTGCAAGTAAAGTTGATCCAACTATGTAGCATTTACTGATGATCACCCATTAATTCAGGACACAAATGTGTTGGTGGGAACGAGGAAAGAAAGACTGGACATTAAGGTGGCATTATCCAATTCACTTGGATTCGGTGGCCACAATTCCTCAAATCTTATTTGCTCCATATAAGTAGATCTTTATGGCACGCTCGATTTCGCAAATGATGATGCCAAAGGTATGTACTGGTAAGAATATTGATTTGTAAGTCTTAGATGATATCAGAACAGAGAACCAGAACCTAGGCAGTTGGTATCTTGTGTCATCTTTCCTAGATGGGTAAAAAGCAAAGTCAGTCTGAGCCGAAAAGTTATGTTTTTTATGTTGATAATTTCAATGTTGTATCAATCTCAATCCCGAGTTTTGTATGCAAGTTGTCGTCAACTTCGTTATATCATCATATGGTCCTTTCTCCATTCGATGCCTTTGGATATCATCTTGTGGCATATGTTTGCAAAAGGATTGAACCCAATGTACAATATTAATTTGATACACTTGCAATTAGTGGATGTGTGTGCATTTAACTTAGAACACAACATAATTAAAAAGAGAAGATGCACCAATATTAATTTGATACACGTTTACAATAGTTTTGTTATACCATTTGAGCGTTCGACGCAAGCCAGCCACCGATGACATATCAAGCAAGTCTAATATTATGATCACCAGTAATGACTCGGGATTACCCCTTGGCTCGTGCAACCACTAACTCATGAGATAATACTATGGAGAAGACAATTGTTTCGACGGTCCATTCACTCGTTTTTATAATTTTTACATGAAAAGTTACAATAGACCAAGCTTTTATAGGTTGAAAGAATGATAGATAATATCTTCACTTTGATATTTTAGTACAGAAAAGAAGTACCTTTTAAGGCACGACAAAATTTCGTAAAAGGGGCGGAATGTGGACACTCCTAACCAAACCAGAAACATAAATAGTCACTGGCTAAAAATTTAAGCAGCTCTATGGAACTTCAATGGCCTCAATTGCAGATTTCCCGTCTGACCTACAAGACAGTTAACCTCAACTTTTCTTTTGGTTCCCTTTCTTTTTGCCCTTCTTTAATTTAACTCCCTTCATGGAAAGTGCATTTGCGACACTTCTGCCTTCTAACCTCTTTGTTAGCTTTACAACACTTGCCATACCTTTCCTAGCAGCTGCACGGTGCTCTGGCCTGCGACTCATCATTTTTCGGTCAAGTGGCCAATAGGCATAAGGTTCAAGCTTGTCCTTCCTGTTCACATCACCACGTGCCTTCTTGCTTGCATACTCACTACCTGTATACGCCCACCCAGACTCTGACGTCTTTCTGCGCTTTTGTGTTTTTCGTGAATTTGCAGACAAGTTGCTTCTTACTTCATCTGCCTCTGTGTCATAAGGCATCTCTCGCTTGTGGGTCCTACCTCCCTTCTTTTCCCAACCTTCCTCACGAATAATTACACGCCCTTCGGGGTCTATCTCTAGCTCATCATCGGAATCAGACTTCTTTTTCATTATCTCTGATGATCGCAGAGCAAACTTCGTCTTTTTCTGATCAAGCAAGTCAAGTGGCTCATCATCCAATTGGTCAAATAAGTCTTCTTGCAAGCTCTTTGCTGCTTCACGGGTTCTCTTGGATCTGATAACATTCAAATTATCATTAGTTCAATAACATGTGACACAAGTGCTCCCAAATGCATGAATAGCCTACATGAGTACATAGCAGTATCCCACATCCTAAAGAAATGAATTATTCCAATGGCAACAACATTATTAACAGGAGTATGCACAAAGCTAATAAGTTATAAACATAATGTAAACAGACCGTAAAGATGCCTTAAATTCAAACTTCGAGGAATCCTTCTTTTTCCCACTATAAATACTCTGTGCGTTCATGTATTCAGCATCACTGTTTTCCATTTCCTCTTCACCAAAATCAGAAAATATTTTTGTATGATTCCATCTGCTCATCCTGTACAACAAATTAAAGAATTACTATAGGATGCTTATAGTCGTCCTTAAATAATCAGCAAGAGATGATAGGTCACAAGGAATCACTAGACAACTAAGTACTCTTTACAGGCATGTCATGAAAAGGCTCACTAAGGACTGATGTCCTTTGCCTTCACCATCTGTTTTAAAGTGGTAATCATTCTTTTAATTTTTAATTGACAGACATGGTCGCACAGAAGCATCTTTGCAAAGGTATACATGGTTAAATTATTTGATAATGAGCTAACAACATACTATCACAAACCATTGCAAAACAAAACTTCAAATAAATAGTACACCACAGTAAAACTACACTTGCCACTCCAGTGTGTCACAAAGAGACAATATACAATTTCAAAAGACAACTAAATTCTGATAAATTAATTTAAGTCACTTGTATTCTGTAGAACTGAAAACCAGCCAAGCCATCAACCCAGAAAATGTCAAGGGTCAAAAAGCTGAACTGGGCCAAACTGTTTATTAAAAATGTTAAAGAAACATATATATACATACCACAAAAAATTGACAAAAATCTGTTAATTTTACAAATAAATTATGTATATAGACAAAAGCACTTATTAAACTCGGTTGCATTTAATTTCTATCATCTTCACTTTTAATATCAATAGAAACTAGACAACAAATATAGACAAGCATTAATAGCTGGCTCGCTTAAATATATTTATGGCATCTTATTGTGCTAATAAAATAAAATTAAACGAGAAAAATCGAGTAAATTGAAATAAAAAAAAGAAATAAAATCAAGAAATTAGAAATTTATTTCGGGCTTTAGTTTTTTATTTTATTGTTTCCTTCGGGGGAATTCAAACACAATAATAATAATAATAATAATAATAATAATAAGTAAAAATTCTAAATTCAATATCAACTTCCAGTTTACCATCAAGGTAAAGGGAAGGCTAATTCATAGGCAAATTCGAGAAATTGGGTATCCTAAATAGATCAACTGGCGGTGATTCATTCACTTTTTAGAAAATTAACTTTGAAGCAAAGATTCTACATTTATGTCTTGTAATCTCCACTCGAAAAGGATTCATATGCATAAAAAGAAAAAAGAAAAAACCTGGATGTAGTTGCTTTCGATTGAATAGATCTCGCATCAACAGATTTAGCAACTTGCTTCCTCTCTTTCCGCTCCTTCATCTGCATTTAATAGAATGAATTATATCACTAATATTATATTCTTTAACAAAAAATATTAAAGAAAATCAAGCTATCTTCCCAAGGTGACAAACCTTTCTTATGTTGGTGAGAAGTTTTGTGTGCTCTTCAGGCATGACTTCCTTCACAGCATCCAGACCACATTTTCTTACAAGCATTTCGAGGAGTAGTTTAACCTACAGCAATACACCAGAGATAAATGTGTCGCACATTCAAGAGTTGACCGAACATACAACAGAAAGTCTTAGCACACAACTTCAATGCAGAAGAAACGGCAAGTTTCTATTTATGAATAAGCTTTCAGAATGAGAACCTCAAGGATCGTAAATCACAAGCAATGACCTAAATAATCATTTACTTACCTTCGCTTTGAAATGGTTCTTAGTACTATCTTGCCAATTCAGCAATCCATCAACCAGGCTCTGCAGGTGCTTTTGCAAGCCCTCAGCTTGTGATTTGGCCACCAATACCTTCAGCAAACCTAAATTAGCCTGCAATGAAAATCAAATATCCAAAATGCAAAGGCATCAGATGACAAAAGAAAGCACCCATTTATTCTGAAAAACTCAATTTGCAAAAAGTTGAGACGGGTGAAATGGACCTTGATTATTTCTCTGTTCTTTCTTTGCAGGAGGAGAAATGTGGATGGAAGGACATTGTACAAAGCAGAAACAAGGTCAGAGAACTCATAAGCCAAGCGAGCTAGGCCCTTCATCGAGGCACTAATCATATGAGGGGTCTCTCCAGCCAGGCCTCCTGCAACCTATAGATATGAAAAGCATGTTAATCTTGCAGCAGAGATACATTACAATTCACTAGTCTCACAAATAGTGTACCATGTTAAAAAACTGGTACAAATTCTCCTTTTTGCCACCTTTCTCTTCATCTCCACAGGCATGACCAATCTCGACAAGAATATCATATGCTCTATTCCTTGTTTTTCTATTAGCCTTGCAAGGAAACCGTCACCAAGAAGTCAGCATGTCTTAACCATGTTACACATCCATAGTAAATGTGCATCTATATACTTACATATGCACATAGATACGTAAAAACAGCCATTTTCTTCAAACAGTAAATTTTAATAGATCAAAAGAGCCCACCAAAATTCACCAAATTGACGGAACCTGACTTATAATTGTCACTTCCATTTGGTTCTTAAAAGATTTTTTACTAAAATAAGCTCTAATAGAATTTCCCTACGGATAAAAGAGTTAATCAATATAATCACTATTTTTAGAAGGTTTAGCAAGTAACACACAATCAAGCATGAAAAAAATGAGCTTTGGTGAAGAATTACGGTCAGATTGAACGAGTGGTCCATTAATAGTTTTCTTGAGAAAAAAGAAACGAGGTAGCATTATTCATATTGAGGTAGCATTATTCATATTGAATTCAAGATTGACCTCACTAAGAGGAAACTTAAAGAGATTCTATAGTTGAAGGAACGCAGAACAGTGTGTACTAAGAAAGCATACAAAAGCCAGCATTTTTGAAAAACAGCGAAAAATACTTTTATAAAGAATCTCAATGCCAAATTCTTAAAAGAAAGCCAGTAACGCTCCATGAAAGAAAGTTCTTGATTTATAATATATATGTATGTATGTATGTATGTTTTCCATTTCCAATGAAATAAATAAGTGCCACAATTCATTCACTAATGAGATTGTTGGAAACAAGAAAGTACAGTGACATGGAGGCCCTGACCAGCTTGGTTGTCTCACTAAAGAGATGATGATACTGTCGATAAATTTAATTGAGTTCGAATAAATAACAATCTATGATGTGTGTCCGTGACGACACGTCATTTCGTCTCGGACACCGATGATACTAGGACACTCATGATATGGTTCTGACAACCACATCCTGTTCCCTGTTTTGAATATTTTTTTAAAATTTTCAATTCTCTATACGTTAGGGACATTCCTCAGAAGTATTAAGCATGGCATGTGATGTGTCTCCTATACTAAAAATTACAATAATAGAACTTATAAACAGTTTAAATTATAAAATAGATAGAAAATATTGATGAATAAATAGGTAATATTTGTGCATCCCTCGACCCTCGAAATGTGTGGATAAAAAAGTAGCTTGAGTGTTTATAAATAGTTTATAAACATGAGCCAAATCTAGACAAAGATTAAAGTATAAATTTTAAACTTTAAAGAATTTAAATTGATGTGTCCCCAACATATCCGTGTCTTACTTTATTTAAAAAAAAAAAAAAATCATGTCTGTCTGCTTCCGCGTCCAATTACAACATAGATAACAATAAAGACGTATGAACCATGATGTAAAATGCAGGTGCATACATCCAGCATAACATTGGAGCATCATACGAAACAAATAAAAATTAACAAAAAGAACAAAAAATATAATTGGATATTAGGCACAGATAAACTCACAATCTTATGACAAGTTCATCATTGTAATCAACAGCGATCTAATGATAACTAAATAAAAAGCACAGAAAGCATGGATTCCAAGTTACAGCAAAAATATCAGTAGGGAACAGAATGTAGTTGCACCAAACCTTAAAAATAGATGGATGTTGACACAATGACACGCAGGAAATGACAACATTCACAAGCACAGTGGTATATCATTCGCCAACAACACAAATCCCTAAAATAACTGAATATTATCTCAATTTCCATGGGAAACCATTCATAATGTATTTGGCAGCTAATAAAATATGTAAATAGATGCACTACTACGAATTATTGGAAGATATATCAGGACAGCACAATTGTCCAAGTTGTTTTGACCATCTATGAAGCTGTTATACCTTTAACTTCAACGCCTCGTCGCTGAAAAATCAATTTTCTTTATAAATTTGAATTTGACCTTATTCGTAAATCATAATAGTAGATAGACCCAAAACTTTCAGTACAGTCAAATGTAAAGGAATCAGATAAATAAGAGATATACATGCTTGCATGCTGCCATAAAATATAATCATCTAAAGAGATCATGAGACCCTGTAGACTAACATTAATGCCTAAAGAATGGTGTCAGAACAAACTGAATCTACTGTATCAGAGGTTTTCAGAGGCTCACTTGTGTGAAACCAAGTAACAGCAACAAACCACAAACTAGTGTACTTCAATGATAGCTAAGTTTCAGAAAATGTTATATACCTCTTTTAGTGCAAGTATAATTTCAGTAAGGAAAGATGCAGCAGTGCCATGCCTCATCTGTTCAGATCCATCCTGTAGGCATAGGCATGTAATGCAAAATTAGAAAGGAGAAGCTACTTCAAATGTAAGGAAAATATAGCCTTTTTGTGAAGTTGAATTTTTTAGAAGTGATTTTTTGGGAGAATATGTGTTTAAAAGTACAGAAAAATTAAGGGAAAATGTGAAAAATGATTTTATTGGAGAACGCGACTGAAAATGAGTGGGGAAAATCTGTTCAGATCCATCCTGTAGGCATAGGCATGTAATGCAAAATTAGAAAGGAGAAGCTACTTCAAATGTAAGGAAAATATAGCCTTTTTGTGAAGTTGAATTTTTTAGAAGTGATTTTTTGGGAGAATATGTGTTTAAAAGTACAGAAAAATTAAGGGAAAATGTGAAAAATGATTTTATTGGAGAACGCGACTGAAAATGAGTGGGGAAAAAAGTGATTCTGAAAAAAATCAGTTTCAAACATGGGCATAATAATTTAACAAGCTACTTCAGACATCAGTTAATATGGTTGACTTCCCTTGTTACCTTAGAAACGTGAATAATCAAGAAGTACAAACAGTCAAGTCTGTGACGTTTGGCTGAAAAATGACATGATGGAAGAACTTCTATCATCAGACTGAGCATCTCTTCAAGCCTTCGAGAAATGAAGTCATCAGAGTGCTGTCCATTAAATTCCAGTAAGCTCATCAGCCAAAATGTAAGCACATTACGAAGAACATGATGAAAATTAAAAAGTCATCACTACTATAGATGATATTTAGTTCAATCATTATCTCATATGTCAACTTTCTAAGGACTTGGGTACTACTGAAAAAGAGAGGCAATATGCTGCATGTTCTTTAACTCGCAAATGAGATATGCTAACATCGTCTAAAATATCTGAAAAAACATGTATAATGAAGGAGTTTCTCAGTCCTGTCACCTCAGTCTTAGACCAGTGGTATGAAAAAAAATATGTAGAAGGGGTAATCACTACACAGCTTGGCACGGATGGGATTTTATTATAAAGACAGCTGACTGCTCTTTTCAACTATCTACTATGCCCCACATTTCCACCGGAAGCCAGAAAGAAGAAGACACATGGAAAAGATATATCAACACAATTGACATGACGGTCATTTTTTTATTACAATGAGCCTTTACCCATTTTGTTACACAGAACACTGAACCTCAGATATCAAAGTAATCTATCCAAATTCTTAATAATTTTCATGAACAGGCTTCATTTAAATGTGAAATTACACCAAACAAATAGTTAGTTATGATATTGTGGTTGAAGACAAGATTTAAATGATATATATGTGGCCTTTAACTTCTCTTTTAAATATCATGGTTCAATATGACAAAGGTCTACGTCCAAGTCAAGTCGCCATCCATTTAATGAAATTGTGCACGTGTTAGGCTTTGATGAGAAAAAACAATGACGTGGAGGGTGAGTGTTGAAAACAATATTTAAATGATATACATTCGGTCATTTCTAACAATTCAAGCTTTTAGATCAAGTGGTTCAAAAATTGTTAATTTATATTACGCACTGAAAGAAATGGGAAAAAATAATCAACCAACACCATTATTATTCTCAAGCTAGTGGATGAACTGCTGTTTGTTGTGTGCAAGATTTTCTGTAGAAAATTCGCTAAGATATTGCGGATATATATTATTTTCAACTGCAATATCATTGCTATATTGAGATCTCAACCTTCATTCTTCCATCCAATATTTTGAGATACTGGATCATGGTGTGTGATACCTAAAAGTCGAGATATTGGGAGATCTAAGTTACTTAAATTATGTACCTTCAAAACTAATGCTAATTATTCTCTTTGATAACCTTCCGGTACACTGCCAAAACAGGCAATGAACAAACACTTTTCATAAGACTGAAATTTCTTCCACACGACTGATTAAAACATGTGAGCCAAATATTTCAACATTTTTTATAGCTAAAAAACACTTGATTGGATGGAAATCGAATACCATATCACAGCATAATAACAATGAGCACTAAAAACATTATTTTTCGTTATAAACAAAATTACCCTGAAAATCATTGATAGAACTTTGTAGGCCTTCTTCTGGATCGAACCCTCTACATCCTGGAATACAGCAAGTGTTAAACTTCACCTACTTCAACTCCTTTAATTTAGAAAGATATAATGACCTTCATTCACATAATAATTAGTGGAAGTAACAAGCTAAATATTGACAAACCTTCAATGCAGGTTGTATAGCAATGAAGAGAAGATCAATTTCTTTCGTATCCAAGCCAGGTAAAAGTGAAACAGCAAGGTCAAATAACTGTGCCCTATACAAAAAATAAAATGCAAAGGATCAAAAATCTAGCACAAGTAAAAAGCAGATTCCTAGCTCGTCCATCCAAGCTACAGGTAAGAGAATAAGAAAATGTCTTTAAGGCAGCTTACCTGGTTGATGATAGTGAACCTTCATGGGATGAGTTGTCAACCTGCATTAGGTTAGAACTTCTCGAGGTTCCTGATTTTCCAGCCTCTTGAGTGACCTTCAGAAGCTTCTGCATGGTAGTCCTGAAAAATCTTGTGACCACCTCTTTCTCCGAAACTGAAGCAAGCTCGCCAATTGTATTCTGTACGTATATATGATGTAAAACACCAAAGATAGCTTAATGTAGCTCAAGTGATGTTCTGAATTACGAATAAAACTACATTTGGATATGATATTATTGAGAGAAATCGCAATAAATATTTTGTGAAATATTTGCCAAGTCTGGATTAAGCTGTGCAGTGTCTTAATAATTCAAATAATTTGTATCTCCTTCCTTGAGACAATAGTATTATGGTAGTAGCATGAAACTGCAACCATATAACTTACATCTCTGTGACTAGAAATCGAAGTAAAATTAGCAAATGTTTGTCTCCCATTATTTCAACACTCTTTTTCTCAAACTCATTTTCAACCCCACATTCTCCCAATAAAATATTTTGCACATAAGCCTAAAACTTTTCCTATTTTTTAACCACACATTCTCTAAAAATTCACTATTCAAAAACTCATTTTCACTTTATAATGGTAGACGAACAGGGGTCTAAACAACTTGATTTCAATTATGAAGCACTAATATGTAAGGGCAGGATATAAAATAAATCAAGCCCATGAACACTGCATAAAAGGACAAAGTAAACCCAACCCACCACAATTTAGTAAATGCAATTCTACATGATTGTAATCCTTTAAACTTGTCAACAGATTAGAAGAAGGGAAAGAAAGTAATTTCATGATGGACTATGACAACATGAAGCTAAGTTTATTTTCAATAAACTTTGGAACACATACAAGAATTTTTTCTATTCCATTCGGTTCATTGCAACATCTACATCCACAGTAACTAGATCCTTTCAATCCTTAACATGCCATGTAGGTTCTGTACTACTTCTCTCTTCCACAATGTTCAACTATTATCCATTGGAACTTCTTTTGGTCCCAACCACCTAAGCCATTGTTCCCATTTGTCCTTAAATCGGTGCCACCTCCCATTATAATTTACTTCATCAACAGTATGGTATCTTGGAGGGACCAAATCAATATTGTCTTACCACAAAGTCAATCAGGTAAATTTCATCTTTCACAGCCATCAATTTTAAGGTTAAAAATGCCCTTTCAAACCACTAAGAACAGAGTTCAATTTCCAAATCAATAAATATCATGCGTACAAATGAAACTACAAATATCCTACAATCATCTCTTGTAAATTATCCATTTGCACACAGGAGATCAGATTTAGAACTCATACAAGGCAAAGGCATAAAATTTCAGACAAATGTTTAGAAGGAAGAGAAACCCTAAAACAGATGATTTTCCCAATATGGCTATACTTCATAGCAGCATTTAGACCTTCCATTTTGTTTGAAAAATAATTTTTGGAATAGTGATTGATGGGATTTTTGGGTTTATGTGTAATATTATTTTATTAATATAATGTGTGGTTGAAATGAAGAAAGAAAAATAGAATGAGAAAAAACAGGGGCTTCCTATCCCACATGAGACATTTTTTAGAAATGTCACAAATCTAAGTCAATTTGTCCATATATATCGAAGTCATCACAATTTCATATTTTCTGGGAAAAATTTAATGCAGAAGGAACATAACAAGTTGTTTGACACAGAAAATAGTAACAAATGTTGCACCAGCGAGAATTTCATGAAAATCTGCACTGCATATACTACTTATCACCTAGAAGGATGTCGATGCAGCATAGAATATACATATATACCTCAAAACAGATAAACAAACAGAAGGGCACAATATCAGGAAAAGAAAATTGTTTGTAAAACAAAAGCTCACAGCAACCAGATTGTTTCTAAAAAGACGATGAACATTTTGAACCTACCAGTAGCAGTCCACTGGTATCCTTGGAAGATTTCAAGAAGACCCCAGAAAGAACAGACAACAACTCACGAGCAGAGGATCTCAACATGCGTAAGTTAGCATCTGCGACTTGTGAAGTATAGAGGGCAATGGCTCGCTCTTCAGGAATGCTTATTTCTACATTCGAAAGATCCCCGTTTCCTTCCAGAACTTTCTTGTTCTGCTGAATGAGAATCTGCAAACTGGAGCATATTATTCCACGAAGATCAGACTCTTCACGCAGAGCACTACATAGAGCTTTCTCTAGATCCTTTAAACCTTCAGCAGTATCCACAGGGTAATTGCAAAAGGATGGTAACAGTGACCACAATGAGTATATAAGCCCATCAACACTCCTTGCTGAATAAATCCTTCCCTCTTGCTCCAGCTGGCATGAGAATATGTTATTTTTGTACACATCACAAAAAAAAGGGAAATCAAAATTAGCATAAAGAGATTCATACAATAGCAGACTTCCGCTTCATCACACCAATCATGGGTAAAATTGACTTTGTAAAGAAGCTTAGATTGGCACCAACAATATATTGCTTCAGAATAGGAAAAAGCCAGAGATTAGCCTCAGATAGGTCTTGAGCATCCAACTGAAGTGGTAGAATATTCAAAAAGGTCTCAGGTCCCATAGCACCAAGGGCAGCCCCCACACACTCGTGCAACTGCAAACATGCAAAGTAATTAATGGTAAAAACAAATTAAATTCGTGATCAAATGATATCTTGCATCTCATTAAAAAAAAAGCCCAGAGTACAGCCTATGTGAACAACGGTGACTAATACATCGAATTTTTAGATGTCAAGCATATTGTGTTTATAGTTTCTCAAACAGGAAAATTCTTTAAATCCAAAGTCTGATCAACCCCAAGCTTTGCACATCAATGTTAAAAAATTGAGGAAGATGCTTCTCAGTATAAAAACTGAAATAAATGGCTAAATTTTGTGCAATAGACAGATCATAATTCAATAAAAAGAATATGATGAAGTCCTCAACCGGTAACTGGGAACAAAATGTTGCTAACCAAGTTATGTCCCCTTCCCAAAGGTAGGCCATAAACACAAGTTTCGTCAATATTAGTTACCTGTTTCCTGAAAGGAAAGTCTTCATCTGGCAACTTCTGCATGTCTGCCAAACTCTTCAGTGTTCCCCTTAAAAAGTAGGATGAATATTTTCCTGCACCAAGTCACAGGGCCTCGTCAATTCAACTTACATAAGAAACTCTTTGGATAGGCGTTAAGAGGAATACATTTAAGAAAGTTAACTTTAAAAATAACACTAAATAAATATTTCTTGGGGGAAGAGGGGGGGGAGGGGGTTAAGAATGGTATGTTGGATAACATTAACAGACCACAATTACTTCTGTCCAGGGTACTCAGAAAGTTTCTCGTTTAGGGTAAATTAAGTTGAGAATTTAAAAAGCATTAGAAACAAGGGTAAATGAGAGGCGAAGAGATCAAATAACTCAATAAAATTACCTAATTTCTCAAACATTGACGAAACAATTCGAAATGACATATCCCAAACGGAAGCATAGTGATAGTCAAGCAGGCTTTCAATAGTTGCACAAACTTTTTCAATGACAGTTGGACCAGATTTCCTTGATGTCACATTAGAATTCATTGTAATCTCTTCAACACCCTGTTTGATCAAGTTCTCATCAATGCATGCTTGTACTAAGCTCTTAAAAGTAGCCATTGCTGCCATCGTGGCCTCCTCATGTTCAGAAACCAAAATATCTGATAAAGCCACAAAGTGAAAATTATGGTAATACAAAGTAAATATTATATATTTTCAGCTGATATAAGTAAATTAAGAAACTTAATATAGATGCAATTAAGTAAATATGATATACAAGGAAATTAAATAATATGATAGTGTGATGTCTTTTGGATTGAGGAAAAAATAGAGAACATAACAACAAAGAAATTAACCTTTGAGCGCATTGAATACAACAGGGAGCTTAACTACACAAATTTGCCTGTTAAGTGAATAAACTCGCTTCATCCCGATGTCTAGCAAGCGAGCAGTGAATGTCATGCTATCAGCAGATGACTCATGTGCAGTGACTGAATTAATTAATGAGCATAACAGATCGAGAAGAACCTCAGCAGAAACTTCTCCTATTGAATGGAGACAAAGTGCATTCAAAGCATCTGTTATGCGCCTAGTGACAAGGGGTTGCCTCAGTTCCAAGAGAGTTTTAAAGTACTTCATGATGTTGGTAGAGGACTTTGCAGACATATAAGGAAGACAGAATTTCAGGGCATCCAGAACAAAAAGAACCTCCTGTGCTCCTTTGGGTCCCTCTGAATCCTTCGCAATTGATCCTCCAGCAAGTAGGAGATATCTCTCTAAGACATTGGTAATAGCTTCACTCGAAGGTGCAAGTAATGGAGCAAGGAGCGGTGATATCTGAAAGTTTGATAGGACATCACGAAGACGTGATTGTGACTGCCTTCTTACCTGCATTTCACAGTCCAAACTGACTGTCAGTTCTATCATTACAAAGAATTAATAATAGTGGAGAACAACTAGTCTTTGTCCAGTGATATTGCACATTTTTAACTGTTCCCAAAATTAAGAGAAAAGGGGCATTAAATTTATGGTGTTTGTTAATAAATCTTTGTAATTGATCCTCACAGTTAAAAGGAAACAGGAAACTCAAAGTACAAGTTTATTTTCAATTTGTCAAATGCTAGTTATTATCACATATATAGGAGAAAGCCAACAATGACTTGTAAATGAACTACTGAGAAAAGGATAGAAATCACAAATTGGGATTAAATTTACAATTTGAACCTTACAGTTATTTAAGGAAACTTTAGAATTTATAATGTCAAATTTCAAGAAAAGAATGCATTGCACAAAACAGAGTTATTTAGACATTCCAACACCATTCACAAAATAAGCTCCAACTATTTGAAAGGTAGGGTACATAAAAATTTCATCTTTCAATAAAAGCTTATTCATATTTGCAGTACTTAAAAACCAAAATACCTAGAAAACAGAACATTCAAAGTAAAATCTAAAAAATTCAGGATCCAAGAAAGAAAAAAATGAGAAGGACTCATTCCGACCTTAGGCCGATCGTCAATAATATAACCAAGAAGAACCCCATACAACTGCACTACGTCAGCCCAGGCAACATTTTCTCTCACAATCAACGACAGCGAAACACACTTTAAAGCCGGCACAATCCCATTAACCCCGATAGTTTTCGACCGGAGGACCCGAATCAAGAGCTCGGACAGATAATCATACTTTGATTTGAGGATGGACGTGTTGAATTCGTCGACAACAAGGGATAGAATGGTAATCAATGCGTCGAGGAGGTGGCCGGGAGGTTCAAAAGACGAGGAAAGGCGATCGAGAGAGGAGCAAGTGGCGCCAAAATATGCGATGGGGGTGAGAGGGAGGTTTTGGTCCTTGAGCTCCTGCGACATGGCGCCGATGGCAGTGCAAACGTGGATGTCGTGCTCGGTGGAAGAGTGGCTGAATTGGGATAGCACTGAAGAGCAGAACGGATCGACGGCGTCTTGCGCTGGTTGCGCCGCCTCCATCTCGACGGCGTCCATGGTTGTGGGCGAATTAGGGTTCTAAGAAGACAGGGTTTAGGCGTTCAGTTTCCAACCCTCAAAACTAAAATTCTTTAAATATTAATTTTTATTAGGAATGATTTGTAGTTGCCGTCCTCAAACATTTCCACTTGAAGCACTTAAGTACCTTAACAAATTTTATTGATTTTTCTTGAACTTGTAATTTATGTATACTCAATCAAGACTTTCAATTACTTTCGTGGTGCATTCAATCTAGACGTTAAAATTTTTTTATCTTCTATATATTAAAGGTGGCTATGTAACAGAATTTCTTAGTTTTAATGGAAAAACTAACGGAATTTGTTGTTTTAACGGATTATATAACGGAATTTCTTATTTTAAACAGGCAGCTGCACCTTCTTTCAGTATTTTTATCATAACTTTGTATTCCGATATCCGATTGAGGCGATTCAAAATGCGTTGGAAAGCTAACTCATCTGGCTACAACTTTGATTCAGACATCATTCTCCAATTCGATCACTTTCTATGCCAAAAATAGGTCTCAATATGAGACTAAAATATCGGAGCATAACTTTTCGGTTGAAAATTGATTTGTGATCATCTTTTGACTAAATTTGATTCCATTGACGTCTTCCTTTATCCAATTGACTCCGAGCACTCTCAAATCTTCATCGTGAGGTTCGGCACAACTTTTAAGTATTTACATTTTAGTCCCCGAACTTTGGATCCCTTACAATTTAGCCATTTCTCCAAATTTGTCAACTTTTGCTTATTTTCTTCGATCTCACCAACTTACATCACAACATCAAAATCACACATCTAATTATTTATCAATTACATAAACATTACATCATTAATTATTTAATTAACCAAAAAAATTACATCTTTATTAATAACAAATTAATTCTTAAACAAAACTATTAAATATAAACTAGGCAAACGTGCATTGCACGTTGCTTGCACCTAGTATATATAAAAAGTGCCTATGAAACGGAAATTCTTGTTTTAACGGAAAATCTAACGGAATTGGTTGTTTTAACGGAAAATCTTTTTTCACCGTTAGTTTTATTGTTTCCATTAAATAGCAATTAAGCCACCGTTTGTGGCAATTGATGTTGTGTCTGTTGGAATTCCATTATCTAATAATAAATGAATGAGAAATGCAAAATGCTTTGTACTACTACATTTTAGTCACTAGGAAAAAATTAAACTAAAAAAAAAATGGATGTGGAGATTATCATTTTAAAAATGCTAATAATTTATTTAGTAAGGTACATTGAATTTAATGAAGAAAAAATATTTATTTATTTAGTTTTGTATTGTAATGTAATGTTATCTATTATTTTATTATGTACAAAAGGTTCATGATTAAGTGCAAAATTTGATATAATATAATAGTACGAAACACAAACTTATACATTTTTTTGTCTTTACACTAACATTTATTGTAAAAATTGATTATGATTTAATGTAAAAAGCAAAATTCTGGATATGAGCGAAGATAAATGTGATTGAGTTTGTCCAAGTATTTTATTACATATCATGCGTTGACTATAATAAAGGAATTTGATATAAATACAATAAAAGCTTCGTTTGTATATATTGCAAAAGCCAATAGGTTTACAAACCACGGTATGTATCTTACAATTTTAATTTAAAATTGATGTCTGATTTAATTTAGAATTTAACACTATTCAAATTAAAATTAATATATTCAACGCATTTAAAATGTTAGGGGATATGTTCAACTCGACGATAATACTGAAAAACTAGCTGCTACTATATTTGGTGAAGTAGCACAACATTCACTTGGTTGTTCAACAGTTGAATTGATGGGACATGTTGGAGAGGTATTTCTTAAAAAAAAATTCAAAACTTGATTTTTATTATAATGAGTTATTTAAAAATAACTGAGTTTTTTTATTAATTATGTAAACATGTTCAAAATTTATTTTGTAGGAAAATCGATCATATGTTAAAAGCGTTGCAGAGAAATTATCAAAAGAAATTTGAAATATTCAAGTTTATGTAAATCCAGAGAAACTAAATGAGAAAAAATATAGGCAGTTTAATATCCTCTCTATTGAAGCAGTGCAAGATGAGGAAAATGCTGAAACGTTATCTTAGAATCAAAATTATCTCCAACGGCTATCATAAAACTATGAGCGATGTTTATATATAGGACGATGCTATAGATTCTATTAATGCTCTTTTTTTTAATAAATCACAATGTGTAATTATTTATCAATTACATAAACATTACATCATTAGTTATTTAATTAACTAGAAAATTACATCTTTATTAATAAAATTTTAATTCTTAACTAAAAAAATTATATATAAACTAAGCAAACGTGCATTGCACGTTGCTTAAACCTAGTAGAATTGAAAAGCATAAATCTACTCAATCAAGACTTCTTAAGTCTCTGTTTGGTTTAGATTAAAATTTAATAAAAATTTTAAGTCAAAGTCAACAATTAATTTTAATCACAAATTTCATGAGATTTATAATTTTTCAATCACATATTTCATTAACTTTTATTAAAATTTACAAAAAATCTGATTTTAGTGTCTACCAAACATGGACTAAGACTTCACAAAAGTCATGAAATATTCAATATAAAAATTTATGGACTTTTTGAATGTCCGTAAAATTGAGTATTAATTAAGATTTTTGATATTTAAAATATCAGTAATTTTTAATTAATTTTATGAAAATTTTCGCGTACTAACTTTTAAATAGAAAGTACGAATAAAGAATTAATATAAAGTATCATATTCACCCTTAAAATTTTGAAAGACTTCACAAAGAAAAATAAATAAATTTTATAGGCATTGTCCTTGTTTAATACTCATTCTTTTTAAGATACATTTTTTTTTCTCTTTTATTTTTAATTTCACGTTCTTCAATAAAATAATATTACACGAAAACTCAACATTTTTCTTTATTTTTTAATTATACAATCTCTGTCAAAATATTATTCAAAAATTCATTTTCATCAAAGAAATAGGGCTCAAAGAGGCTCAATATTTCTCCATTTCTTTAACATTACTCTTTTCTATTTTATTCTACAACACCCTAAAGCCATGATAAAAAAATATTAATATTTTTCTCTCTTTGCAACATACTATTATTATCATTATTTTTTTAATATTCTCAAAAAAAATTCTTATCTCTTCTTTTTTTTTTTTATCATTTTCTTCTCTTTTTCTATGAAACAATATCTGTGTTTGAGCCTCATTTCTTGTGTAGAATTTATTTTGGAATAATAGATTGAAAGAGAATGTGTATTTAAAAAATAAGAAAAAGTTTTGGATTGCGTATAATATTATTTTATTGAAAAATATGTTGTTGAAAAGAAAAGAGAGAAAAATATATTTTGCAAAAAAAAAAAAAAAGGATAAAACAAAGTCGATATATGTAAATTTTTTGTAAAATTTTTCATTCTCTTCTTTTTCATGGATTCCTCCAAATTTTGTATTTGCATAGATGGATAATTTCTAAAATTTATAAAACTAAATTAATTTTGAAGTTATTTTTTTATATATTGGTTGTTTATTTAATTTATAACTTTGTACAAGTTTGAAAATATTGATCATTTTAATACAGTAGAGAATTATATTTTTATTAAAGAGTACTAAAATATTATGATTTTTTTTTTGTATGTTGGTAATATTTATCTAATTTACATGATTTATACCCCAGCATGACTTTCTTTAATTTACTTTAATTTATTTCTTATACTCATTTTCAACCACAAATTCATACAGTCAAATATTTTATATGCAAATTCAAAAAAAATCTTACTTCTTAATGGCACATTTTACAAAAAAACACTATTCAAAACTATACTTTTAAAATTTTAAGGCCACCAAATAGGGGTATATCTTTTATACTATTTAAAAAAATATTTTTTATTGACATCAAAAACACAATTTTGTTATAGCCCTTGTTTGGTTTGAATTAAAATTTCAAATCAAAATCAACAATTAATTTTAATCACACATTTTATGGGATTCACAACTTTTCAAGTGAACAATATATAATTCATTATTTTAAAGATCACATTTTATAAATAACAAATTTCAAAAAACTTTTCAAAAATCGGGTGTTAAATCAATTTATTAAATATTTTTAATTATAATAACAAATTTCAAAAAACTTTTCAAAAATCGAGTGTTAAATCAATTTATTAAATATTTTTAATTATAATATAATACAATTATCCCAATTTATTAAATTTCAAATCCAAATCATTCTCTCTCTCTCTCTACTCTCTATCCTCTCCTATCCCTTCTCTCCATCGGAGGCGGTCATCTACTCCGCCGACTGTTCCGGCGATCACTCCGACAGCCTCTTCGGCGACTGTTCCGGTAATCACTTCGACGCCTCTTCTGCAACTGTTCCGGTGATCACTCCGGCTTTTGCTCCGATAACAGTTCCGACTGCTCAAATAACCACTCCAACGCATGCTCCAATCAACCTACCCACCCCATCCATCCACTCCCAATTTCCAAAAAACTTCCAGAATTTCAAGTCACAATCGATCACAACGAATCACAATTAACCAATCACAAACGGTCACAAACAGGTTACAATCTGTCATAACCAGTCACAATCAACACATATTTGGTTGAAATCTTATCCCTTCTACCACCAGCCATAATTGATTGTAGCTAAAGTTGGGTGGGTGCAACAAGACTTATTAAGAGAGTACGGAGAGATTGAGTGAGAGAGAAAAAACGGATGATTTAGGGACTTCAAAAGCGGAGGTGTGTGGTTGGAGTGGCTGCTGAAGCTCTAAAGATTGGCCAACATTCAGGCCTACCACTGCACATCGCCGACCATCAACCACCTCTTCCTACCAAATTCGGCCAACTACAAGTTTACCCCACCAGCACCAATTGCAACAACCACCACAACTTATAGCACTACCATTCCCACCACCTACACCAAAACCCGCCACTACCTCCTCCAAGCAACCAACTCGCCACCATAACCACCACCACAACCCACACACCAAAATTTAACAAATTCTCTCAACCACCACCATCCTGCAACCTGACATCGCATCACCATCTCACCCAAATCTAAAATCTGCATCACTAACTTGAATATTCGCACCAACAACAGTATCACCAACATCATGTCGAAGCAACAGCGAGCTGAAGTATCGCGATTGACGATTGCTTGCAACAGCGACGTTGACGGTGGCGGCATGACGAGCATCATTAACGCCTCCAACCCGGCGGCACCACTACGCTTGATCCATATCCGCCGAACCTCCACCGCTGCTTATTGTCGCTGTGCACAAATATAGTGATGCCTCGCACGAATGCTGCTCCGTCGCACGCGGTGGACACAATCGACAACTGTGAATCAAGGCGCCACTGCTCCCAGCAGTAGTGGTGCCTTCTTGTGCAGCTGGAAGAGAGAGAGAGATATGGTAAAGTAAGCGGTGGAAATGAAGAAGGGGAGAGAGGGTAAAATGATTTGGGGATTTTGGATTGGTGGTGGGGGTGCGTTGCGTTTTATTGGGTGGGTTGAGTGGTAATTTAATTTATTATTTTAACTAATCTTATTTACCACCTGACTTATGAAAAAAAAACTCAATCTTTTTGAAATGTAATCTTTAAATGCAGGTTTTGAGGTAATTTTTCCACTTTTCAATAACACTTTTCATCAACTTTTTTATCAAAATCTACTAAAAATCTAATTTTAATCTCTACCAAATAAGGGCGTAGTTTGTTATGGATCATTTGGTCATGCAAGTAGCGATTTCAGAAGGAGAAACAAATTTTATTTATTTTTTTTCCTAAAATGAAAGTACGTAAAAGTTAAATGAATTCTTTTTTTTAAAAAAAAGTCTTTTAATAAAGTTTATAGAGGTTGGAAAAGTCTATAAAAATGTTCATCAAACTCTACAAAAATCATTTACTTTAAAAAAATGTCTTTATAAATTTTTAAAATTTCATCAAGGATTTATGAAATCGTATAAAAGACATAGACGAGAATAAAACGAGCTTAGGATGAATTGGAAAAAATTAATTTTTGTCTCATTTAGCGTGCAACAAGTAGTTTGCTCCACTAAACTTTTTTTAGCCAAAATCTGACTCCACTTGCAATTTTGACAACTGCAAATATCAGAACAGAAACAATTACAAAATGTTACAGAATATTTGAATGCAAAGTTTGTTCATTGGTCATAAATTCGGAAGTTGTGTCATAGGCTATGAAAGGAAAAATGCCCCGACTTTTATTTTTATGTTTTAAAATTAAAATCGTATTTATAAATTAGAAAAAAATAAATTAAATATAGATAAACAAGTAAGTGAAAGAATATAGTAAAAAAACATGAATATTTTAATCCTTGTCCCTGTTAACTTATTAGGATATACTACCGAGGATTTTAAAAGCATAAACAAGTATACGCAAAAAGTTATTTTCAAGACAACTTATTTATAACATTAACTAAAAGAGTGTTTGGTGGGGATTGAAATTAGATTTTTAGTAGATTGTGATATAAGTTTTTGAAATGTGTGGTTGAAAAGTTGTGGTACCCATGAAAGATGTGGTTAATATTAATTGTTTGACTTTGATTTATATTAAAATCATATTTTAATCGAAAACAAACAGGCTTTAAAGAAGAATCTTTAATTTTAAACTTAACGATTTTGTTAAGTGTAACTTAATATGCACTAAAAATAAGGGGAAAAAAGGGATCTTATATAGGGGATGTTTGATTCATATTTTTCCCAAAATATATTTTCGTCTCTCTTCTTTTCAACCACACATTTTTCATTAAAATAATATTACACAAAAATTTAAAAAAATTCTTTTTTTTAAGCACACATTCTCAAAATACATTTTTGAAAAATAACAGGGCTCAAACACCCCCATAATGTTCACGTTGCAAAATGATATTTTTTGCTGGTTCATTGATACCCGCAGCAAGATCATTGTGCACAAATCAAGTCCACTGCATTATTGAAGTCAGGTCCATACAGGAGAGGTGTTGGAAATGAATGAAATTAAAATATCAGTTTCAGTCAGCAGCAGCCCCTCAACTGTTCCCTCTCCTTCAGTTTCAGATTTTATTGATGGAAATGAATTTCATATTTCAGTTTCAGCCGTTCATCATTAGCTCTTCAATTCCTCTTCAATGTCTTAATGACCACACTCCTCATTTATGGGTATAAATAGAGGATCTCGTTGGTTGAAGAAACACACACAGTAAGCTTGTGGGATTAAGTAATGGAGAATCAAAGTAATAGATTAATCAAACCGAAGGCCCGTGTTCACACGGTTTCCTTAAATCGAATTCGCCGCCTCACCGGGGTGCACGAGGTTTTGATCGGTGTTCGATTCCCAGGATACAATCGGTCGTCGGTTCACGTTGCACTACGTNATTCTCCATTACTTAATCCCACAAGAGGTTGACAACCTCTCACATGCATGCGGAGCCTGCATTGTGCGTGTCGGTCGACCTGTATGTCGATCATTAGGTTGTACAAATAGCATGGTTGCTTTCCAGGGGCATGTTTGATAGTATAGCATAATTATTGCGTAGCATGAAGATATCTATACCCGTCTTTTAAGGGTAACAAGAAAGTTAAATCATTTAGCTTAAGTTAACTATGCTTGATCACGATTCATAACTTCAACATTTGACATACTGCGTATCTATACTTTGTGATATGTTACTCCTTAAATCTACCTATCAAATTGTTCAGGGTCATGATCATGACAAGCCCGAATGCTTAAATTGGTCACTTACCTTGAGAAAATTGTATACGATCATTTTAAACACCGGTCATCAAGTTATATAAAGAGAGACATGTTTTTCTCTAAAGGCCTTCTTGACAAATAATCAGGAAGTAATCCAATATTCATTCGACAAAAATAAAACAAGTTCACATCTCAATATCAAATCCAGAATCTTAAGCTATAGGACTGAGCTTGTGTGTCGGGGAGGGTGTGACACCCTCTCTGAAAGGACACACACATTGGGGAGAGGGTGAAATTGTTTTTTCATTTCTTATTTCACGTGGGTCTCCATGTCGGTCACACGGCATGTAAGTTTAGGTCACCCAAGTGGGCAAATCTCTTCTGGCACATCAACTTAATTCTAAGCTATATTAATATTTAGGTCGCATATCTAATCATTCGGAACAAACACATCTTCATTGATATGCTCACGGAATCTTGTCCTTTCACTTAGATTTAAAAACAAATTGTCTTGTCGTCAAGCTCGACAATTATCACCCATACGGCCATACCTTACTGTAAAATTGCTAATTTAAATTTTCTTTCTCTGGGTTAAGTGAATTTCATGAATTAATTAATGTGCCCTGGATCTAGCCTATGTCAGCATTTAATTTAGTTAATCAAGCAGCAATTATTAAATCCATTAAACAAGCAAGAAGATTATGAACAAACATACTGATTCAAGACAATAAGCACACACAAGACTTATGTGTGAAGATTTAATAAAGTCTTAGAGTTCTTCTTTAATTCTGACCAGTCGAGATCTCAACTGTTTTTCCGTGGGAGTTGTCGAGAAGGTCGATAAGGTAAAGAGCATTACTAGTAACCCTAGCAACATTAGTAATCTTCTTCTTCACATCAGACCTAGTATATCCTTCAACCTCTTTGAACCCATCGAGGCAAGTGTTCTCATTTGTTAAAGCAGCACTAACCCATGTCTCGACGTTGCTCATGTGCCACCTGAAATCGCCACTCCGGAGGTGCTGCAGCTCGGACAGGGTTTCGCTCAGCTCATCCATGGAGTTCCCCATGAGCTCTATGCAGTCGCGTAGGGCAATTTTCTCCCTCTTGCTTTGGCTCTTGAGCTGGGCCAAGAAATTTGCGGCTGCCTTCGAGCGAGAGAGACTGACTTTCACTCCCGCTCTGGCGAGATTGCGCGGAGTGTTGGTGACGCCGGAGTAGGAGGAGAGTGTGCGGAGGCAAATATCGGGGTAGCTAGCGTGGGCACATGATGTACGGACGAGGTCTGCGTTGTTGTGGTTCTTGGCATAGGCTGAAATTAGTGAAAGGAGGAGAATCAAGTAATATAAGTAGAAAAGGCTTCTCATTTTGTTAGCTGCTAATAGTCCAACTATACGGTGGTGGGCCGGTGGGGAGGCGGTGGCGGCTACCGTTGCTATTTGCCCAAAAGCGAAAGGGATGAGAAGGATAGTTTGCTTTCTTGGGGGACTTAGATAAGCATGAGATCGGCTCCGACTTCTTATTCTGGTCCGTGTGGCCAAATTAAGCCCCTGTTTGGTATACATTATTTTTTTCATTCTCATTATTCTACTCATTTTTAACTACACATTTTTAATAAAATAATATTTTTCATCACATCAATAACTTTCCTTATTTTTCAACCACACATTCTCCATCAATCNTTTTCCTTCACTTTTAACCACATATTCTGCATCAATCTACTATTCAATAATACATTCTTTCAAAAAAATGTATTTCAAACACACCCTAAAATATAATTCATTTTTCACTCTACTATTATCAATCACATATTTTTTAATAAAATACTATAACGCATAAACTCAAAATCATTTCCTTCTTTTTTAATTACACATCTTTCAAAAAATCATTATTTATCCCACTACAACGAGGAATAATGGGGACCAAATGGACGTTTTGTCATCAATACAAGTAAATTGAATTATTAAATGTAACAAAAAAATCATTTATTTTTAAAATTCTAAAGTAATTTTAATCAATTTCTCATATTTCGATTTTTTAATCTTGTTTAGCCCTTTTTTATTCCCATTTTTTAAAATATATTTTTCTCTATCTTATTTTCAACCATACATTTTTCAATAAAATAATATTACACGTAAATTCAAAAAATTTCCTTAATTTTTAACCAAACATTATCAACCAATCTATTATTCTAAAATGCATTTTATATGAAAAATGGGGTTCAAAGAGACCCTGATTAGTTTTAAGTTCATTTTATATTTTGACAATTTTTTGTTTTTTTGTAGCCATTTCAAGAATAAATAATACTAGTAATTTTTCAAAATACTCTTAATTTTCTTTAAATCATAAAATAATCTTAATTGATTCGACATATTCTGTTCTTGTTTGATCTCCGTTATTTTCAAAATACATTTTTCTTTCTTATTTTCAATCACACGTTTTTCAATAAAATATATTAAATGCAAACCCAATATTTTTTTTATTTTTTTACAGCGTATTTTACATCAATCTATTATTTTAAAATGTATTTTTCAATAAAAATGTGATTCAAACAAACTCTAAAAATTATTACCTTTTCCCTCTCTCTTTCTACTTTTGGTTGTACATTAATAAAGTAAATACACGGGACACACATTGAGAATAAGGGAGTGTTTGTTTTTGATTTGAGAATTAATTCTCAAATCAATTCTTATTTTAACCATACATTTTTCAATAAAATAATATTTTACATCACATCAATAATTTTTTTTCCTTTTCAACCACACATTTCTCATCATATCACTATTCAAAAATTAATTTTTCCCCCAAAAATTCCTACCAAATAAGCACTAAAAAACAAACACCCCCTACCCTAAATTAAAGAGAAGTAAAAGCACCGAAATGCAGTAATTGCTCAACAAATGAGATTCACATAAATCATACAGTTGGTAGCACCACTATGGTGCATTTTCTACTATTATTGTGTCAAAAATCAATTAAAAATGGATAAGGGTTCTTCTGTAAAAAATTTGTCAAACTTTTTTTTGTACCTATCCAACACTTGTCTATTCTTAACTCCCTGGTCCCACCACCTGAATTTACCACGACATGGAACCTAGAAGATACTATTACTTAGTGTACATTAAAATGCGAGAATGTATTTTTTTGAAGTGATGTGATGGGAAATATGTGGTTGAAAAAGAAGGAAAAGTTATTGATGTGATGAAAAATATTATTTTATTGAAAAATGTGTGGTTGAAAATGAATAGAAGAATGAGAATAAAAAAAATAATGTGGATCAAACAATTTTTTGGTCAAATTTTCCAAAGCTCGATTTCGTTGTTTTCAACCACCGCCAACCATCATTGCACCACCGAAACCCACCACTGCACCACCGCGACCGAACCACCGTTGCATCGCCACCACCAAAATCGTCACCAGAAAGATACCCACCTCCCAGCCAAAATCACGACCCAACCATTGGAAAATTGCCCCCTCTGCTACAACCAAGACCCCCACCAAAAAAATCCTCACCATCACACTGCAAAATCGCGACCCAATCACAGCCAAAATCGCAACGCTAGAATCGCAATCTAACCACTGCCAAAACCCAGCCAAAATCGCAACCCAACCACAGCAAAAAATCCAGTCGAAATCACGACCTAACTACAGCCAAAATCGCGACCCAACTACACTCAAAATCGCCACAGCCACCACAGCAGCGTCACCCAACACCCAAACCAACCACTACCAGTGAAGAAGAAGGGGAAGGAAGGAGAGAGGGAGAGAGAGGGAGAGAGTGTGTGAAGTGAGGAGGGGAAGAGAACACGTTTTCCATTTTTTAATTTTTGAAAACAATTTTTTAAAATGTCAAAAAGAGCACATTTTCAACAATTTTAAAATGAACACTCAAAACACAAAATTGAAACACAAAGATAACAGCCCTAAGTAATTCCATTATTATAGAAAAGACCTAAAGAAAAAACAGATTACCATTTAATTGCAATCTATTAAAGAAAAGATCGATCACACAATCTATTTGAGTTAAGATGCTTGAATAATACGCTACATGATCCATATTTATTTTGATGATAACACAAAATTTAAAGCTATGCACGATCCAATCAAATCACTCAAAACGACTACCATAAGGGATATCACGAGGGCTTAATTTTCGCATTGATCATGATCAAAGTACAAACTTTAGTATATCCAATTAGAAATAACGTTTTAAGGTAAGACACAATAAGGATGACCTTTTCTTATGCTTGATTTTTAAGAGAAAATGAGATAAAAACGAGTAGACTAATATAATGAAGTGACAGATGTTATAATTACATTGTTTTCTTTTACAATTAAACTATGATTGAGTTCTGTCACTCGAAACAGTTAAGTTAAATAATTTTTTAAGGATTAACCACACATTTTAGTCCCTGTTTGGTGGTGATTAATATAATTTTTTTATTAAATTTTGATAAAAGTTGATGAAATGTGTAGTTAAAAAGTTGTGGATGATCACATAAAATATATGATTAAAATTAATTGTTGACTTTAATTTAAATTAAAATCTAAATTTTAATTTTTACCAAACTTGAACTTAATATGTGCATGGTCTTAGTTAATATATATATATTTTTTATGTAATATTTCGTTTGCCTTTTTAACGTAGATTACGAACTCGATTTAAGTCATATTTTTGTGATATTATTTCTTTTATTACGTACTTCCTTTTGGTATGAATATTGAAATTTGGCTATTTTTTGTAAAATTCCAATAATTATGATTTTTTTGGCTATATAATCCAACTTGTGGGTTATTTTCGCATGTTGGATGAATAATAAAGAACATAGATTCCAACTAAAAAAATGCATTGATCCGAAAATATATTTTAGGTACATCGTGAAAAATCGTCAACTATTATGCATTTCATCCCCTACTCGTGAGTTAAGTATCACTACATTTTCAACCCATCATTTTTTAAGATTTTGTTAAGAAGTAGTCGATCAACATCAACAATATTAGAAGTTAAACATAATCGGGACCATACTGATACGTGTTCTTTAGTCCACTTTTGACCATACTGATACGAGATCCGTGAATATCCTAAAGAATGCAAACTATACCCTACCTAGTAAAGATGTGACTTTTCATCTTTCTATTACAGGAAAATATGTACCTGGGATAGGGTGGGTCTTCTCTCAGCTGCTGCTTCTTGAACATGATGAAAGTTCCATTAACATTGTGTGGTCATAAATGTAGCCATGCCATACAGCTTTCATTTGCTCATCACTTAACTGGCCAATTGCATTTATATTTATTGACGATAAAAATTCGATCAACAAATTTCTCTTACTTAGTTAGAGTTCATCTCCTAAACTTGTTGATTTAGGTGTTCAAACCAGATCAAGAGAAAAAATAACTATTTGGAAGTGAGATATTTGAATTTGTATGATTTTCTTCTCTTAGACGAGAGTATTTATAGATTTCTCTTAAGTCTGTGGAGGTAATTGAGTTATTTTGGACAAGCAACAGCTAGCGGCTTTCTGTTGCCTGGTTTGTAATTAATTTTGTTTTTAAGTGTCACGTTTTATTCATCGACTTATGTGGATGTGCTCATTGGTTTATAAATTATGCTTTGTGTTGACCCTCTTCTTTGTGATGGTCACGTGGACAACAGATGTCGAACTCACTTGCGTCCACGGAAAGGATGGTGTCTATGAGCGTGATAGATGGTTTACGACGTGCGACAAAAATGTTCAAATACCGACAATATAAAAAGTGTTTGCATATAAACAAACAAACAATCATAAACAACTCAACCAAAAGCGAAGTAATCTAAACTCAGGCAAATAAATATGAGATAATCAGGAGAGAAGATTAAGTGTGGTTTTGAGTGTAAAGGTTTGCATTATTCTTCAATGAAATACAAGTGTTACTTTTTTTATAGAGTTCTGACCGACGTTATAATTGTTGGATCAGAACCACATGACCTAATCTCTCAGACCGAAATCTCACATCATTTCATCTGCTATACATTTAATACATTGATAACGGGTCAACCGCCCTACATCATAGGCTGACAATCCGACATTCATTAATATAAATATTACATCAATCATTCTTACAGATTGTCTATAGATCTCTTGAAAGACAACAAATGTTTCGACCTAAAATAGAGAGATAGAGATAAAGTTTCGCCTATACAAGAGTTTCGAAACAATGAGATCAGCTTCTTCTTTGACATCTTTATTTTGGCTAATTGGATTTTTGTTGACTTTGTTAGATCCGACTCAGTGTCTCCACGTGACTTCCACTATAAGTTTTGGTGGCGAGGCGTAACACTTCAAATGTTTACCTACGTGTATCTTAATAACGTCTTCTTGGACTT